TGTCGCACGCGAGGATCCCAGCGGTGTAGCTGATGGCGGTGGGCTCCACCGTTACCTCCCACATCTCGCGGAGCAGCGAGAGGGCCCGCTGCCACTGCTCGCCTTTCTCGCACGCGCTGATCCCAGCGCTGTAGCTGACTAGGGCAGACCTGTGGACTCCGTCCACGACATCAGCTCGACGTGGCGAGGGGTCTCTGGGCAAGCGCGGGGGGGTGCGGCTGCAGGGCCGAAAGGCAATCATGATGGCGTCGGGCTCCTCCTCCTCCTCCTCCTCCTCCTCCTCCTCCTCCTCCTCCTTTTCCACCTTCTTCTCCTCTTTCGCTGGATTCTCCATGCCCTCGGTCGGCAATCGTCGATCCTACGACGACTCTCCCCAACAGAGAAACATCGAAGGCCCTCGGAGCGTCCAACATTGTTCTTTTGTGCCTTCGATATGCCGGTCGCCTCTCGTCCGCTCCCCCGCTCCTGGAAGGAATTCTGAAGGCACTGAAGGCTTCGTAGGGGCCGTTTCGGAGCCTCTTCGGCCTTCGTTTGGGCCTCGCGGGGGGGCTCTTAGGGCTCTCTCGGGCCGTCTTGGGTGCCTCTTGGGCCGTCTTCGGGCCATCTGAGGCCCTCCTTGGCGCCTCTTCGGCTGTCGTGGGCCGTCTTGGGCCGCTCCTGGGGCCGTCTTGGGTGCCTCTTGGGCCGTCTTGGGCGCGTCCGGACGCCGTCCTGCGGCGTCTTGGGACCGTCTTGGGGCCCTCCTGGCCCGTCTTGGGGCTCTCTTGGGGTCCTCTTCGGCCGTCTTGGAGCGGTCGGGGGGGCGTCTTGGGCCGTCTTGGAGCGTCGGGAAGGCGACGAGGCGAGGAGGCCGAAAACATTGACAAACACAATAGAAATCGACGATTTCTGTCGCTCGGGGCCCTCTTGGGAGGCCTCTTGGGAGGCCTCTTCGGGCGTCTTGGACGCCTCGAGGGCCTCCTGGGGCGAATCTCGGACGTCTTGGGCGCTCTTGGGCTGTCTTGGGCCGTCTTGGGCCGCTCCTGGGGCCGTCTTGGGTGCCTCTTGGGCCGTCTTGGGCGCCTCCTGGGCCGTCCTGGGGCCGTCCTGCGGCGTCTTGGGACCGTCTGGGGGCCCTCCTGGCCCGTCTTGGGGCTCTCTTGGTATCCTCTTCGGCCGTCTTGGAGCGGTCGGGGGGGCGTCTTGGGCCGTCTTGGAGCGTCGGAAAGCCGACGAGGCGAGGAGGCCAAAAACATTGAAAAACACAATAGAAATCGACGATTTCTGTCGCTCGGGGCCCTCTTGGGAGGCCTCTTGGGAGGCCTCTTCGGGCGTCTTGGACGCCTCGAGGGCCTCCTGGGGCGAATCTCGGGCGTCTTGGGCGCTCTTGGGCTGTCTTGGGCCGTCTTGGGCCGCTCCTGGGGCCGTCTTGGGTGCCTCTTGGGCCGTCTTGGGCGCCTCCTGGGCCGTCCTGGGGCCGTCCTGCGGCGTCTTGGGACCGTCTGGGGGCCCTCCTGGCCCGTCTTGGGGCTCTCTTGGGGTCCTCTTCGGCCGTCTTGGAGCGGTCGGGGGGACTTCTTGGGCCGTCTTGGAGCGTCGGAAAGCCGAAGAGGCGAGGAGGCCGAAAACACCGAAAAACACAGTAGAAATCGACGCTTTCTGTCGCTCGGGGCCCTCTTGGGAGGCCTCTTGGGAGGCCTCTTCGGGCGTCTTGGACGCCTCGAGGGCCGCCTGGGGCGACTCTCGGACGTCTTGGGCGCATCTTTAAGCGTGCCGGGGCTCTCCGGGGCCGTCTTGGGGGATTTTTGGGACCCTCTGGACGTGTCTTGGGGCCTCCCTGGGCGGCCCGGAGCCAGCCCGGGGCGGTTTTGGTTCATTGGAGCCTGCACCATTCTGGCACGCACTGGGCCCTGCAATGTAGTAGAGATGACGGTGGGTTCCAGCTGCGCCTCCAGAATCTCGCCGAGCAGCGCCAGCGCCGGCTGCCACTGCTCGCCCTTCTCGCACGCGCTGATCCCAGCGTTGTAGCTGATGACGTCGGGCTCCACCTTCGCCTCCCTCATCTCGCGCAGCAGCGCCAGCGCCCGCTGCCACTGCTCGCCCTTCTCGCACGCGCTGATCCCAGCATTGTAGCTGACTAGGGCAGACCTGTGGACTCCGTCCACGACATCAGCTCGACGTGGCCAGTTGAAGGCGCTCTCCACACCCTCCAGGACCTCCTGCTCTCCTGTGTTCCTCAGCTGCTGCTGTTGCTCGGAGGTCCTGCTGCTTCCTCCCCCTCCTCCTCCTCCTTCTCCGCCTCCTCCTCCTCCTCTTCCACCTTCTTCTCCTCTTTCGCTGGATTCTCCATGCCCTCGGTCGGCAATCGTCGATCCTATGACGACTCTCCCCAACGGAGAAACATCGAAGGCCCTCGGAGCGTCCAACATTGTTCTTTTGTGCCTTCGATATGCCGGTCGCCTCTCGTCCACTCCCCCCCTCCTGGAAGCAATTCTGAAGCCACTTAGGGCTTCGTGGGGGCCGTTTGGGGATCTCTTGGGGCGTTTTTGCCTGCGATATGCCTGTCGCCTCTCGTCCGCTCCCCCGCTCCTGGAGGGAATTCTGAAGGCACTGAAGGCTTCGTGGGGGCCGTTTCGGAGCCTCTTCGGCCTTCTTTTGGGCCTCCCGGGGGGGCTCTTAGGGCCCTCTCGGGCCGTCTTGGGTGCCTCTTGGGCCGTCTTGGGGCCGTCTGAGGCCCGCCTCGGCGCCTCTTGGGCTGTCTTGGGCCGTCTTGGGCCGCTCCTGGGGCCGTCTTGGGTGCCTCTTGGGCCGTCTGGGGCGCCTCCTGGGCCGTCCTGGGGCCGTCCTGGGGCGTCTTGGGACCGTCTTGGGGCCCTCCTGGCCCGTCTTGGGGCTCTCTTGGGGTCCTCTTCGGCCGTCTTGGAGCGGTCGGGGGGGCTTCTTGGGCCGTCTTGGAGCGTCGGGAAGCCGACGAGGCGAGGAGGCCGAACACATCGAAAAACACAGTAGAAATCGACGATTTCTGTCGCTCGGAGCCCTCTTGGGAGGCCTCTTGGGAGGCCTCTTCGGGCGTCTTGGACGCCTCTTGGGCCGTCTGGGGCGACTCTCGGGCGTCTCGGGCCCGTCTTTAAGCGTGCCGGGGCTCTCCGGGGCCGTCTTGGGGGCTTCTGGGGGCCCTCTCGACATGTCCTGGGGCCTGCCTGGGCGGCCCGGGGCGGCCCGGGGCCAGCCCGGGGCGGTTTCGGTGCATTGGGGCCTGCGCCCTTCCCGCACGCACTGGGCCCTGCAATGTAGTAGAGATGACGTTGGGCTCCAGCTTCACCTCCCACATGTCGCTGAGCAGCGCCAGCGCCCGCTGCCACTGCTCGCCCTTCTCGCACGCGCTGATCCCAGCGCTGTAGCTGATGGCGTTGGGCTCCAGCTTCGCCTCCCGCATCTCGCTCAGCATCGCCAGCGCCGGCTGCCACTGCTCGCCCTCCTCCCACGCGCTGATCCCAGCATTGTAGCTGACGACGTTGGACTCCAGCTTCGCCTCCCACATCTCGGTGATCAGCGCCAAGGCCCGCTGCCACTGCTCGCCCGTCCCGCACGCGCGAATTCCAACGTTGTAGCTGATGACGTTGGGCTCCAGCTCCGCCTCCCGCATCTCGCGGAGCAGCGCCAGGGCTCGCTGCCACTGGTCGCCCTTCTCGCACGCGCTAATCCCAGAGTTGTAGCTAATGACGTTGGGCTCCAGCTTTGCCTCCCACATCTCGCTCAGCAGCGCCAGAGCCCGCTGCCACTGCTTGCCCGTCGCGCACGCGCTGATCCCAGCGCTGCAGCTGATGACGTTGGGCTCAAGCCTCGCTGTCCACATCTCGTTCAGCAGCGCCACAGCCCGCTGCCACTGCTCGCCCTTCTCGCACGCACTGATCCCAGCGTTGTAGCTGACGACGTCGGGCTCCAGCTTCGCCTCCCACATCTCGCTCAGCAGCGCCAGCGCCCGCTGCCACTGCCGGCCCTTCTCGCACGCGCTGATCCCAGCACTGTAGCTGAAGGACACGGGCTCTAGCTTGGCCTCCCGCATCTCGCTCAGCAGCGCCAGAGCCCGCTGCCACTGCTCGCCCTTCTCGCACGCGCTGACCCCTGCAGAGCAGCTGATGACGTCGGGCTCCAACTTCGTTTCCCACATCTCGCCCAGCAGCGCCAGAGCCTGCTGCCACTGCTCGCCCTTCTCGCACGCGCTGGTCCCAGCGTTGTAGCTGATGACGTCGGGCTCCACCTTCGCTTCACGCATCTCGCTGAGAAGCGCTAGCGCCCGCTGCCACTGTTCACCCTTCTCGCACGCACTGATCGCTGCATTGTAGCTGATAACGTCGAGCACCAGTTTCGCCTCCCGCATCTCGCCGAACAACGCCAGAGCCCGTTGCCACTGCTCGCCCTTCTCGCACGCGCTGATCCCAGCGTTGTAGCTGATGGCGCTGGGCTCCACCTTCGCCTCCCGCATCTCGCTGAGCAGCGCCAGCGCCCGCTGCCACTGCTCGCCCTTCTCGCACGCGCTAATCCCAGCGTTGTAGCTAATGACGTTGTGCTCCAGCTTCGCCTCCCAAATCTCATTCAGCAGCGCCAGAGCCCGCTGCCACTGCTCACCCTTCTCGCACGCGCTGATCCCAACACTGTAGCTGATGAGGTTGGGCTCCAGCTTAGCATCCCACATCTCACTGAGCACCGAGAGTGCGTGCTGCCACTGCCCGCCACGTCTGCATGCGCCGACAGTCGCAACGTAGTGGCATGGAAAGACTTGCACACCCAGCTGGACTCCTTCGCGCAGCAGCTGCAGTGCGGCGCTCCATTGTCTTGTCCGACCACGCGTCTCGATTGCCACTCGGAGGGGAACGGCGCCTTCCCGAGACCCCCTACCGAAAAGCAGCATCCGACAAAGGCGGCATCACGGCGCCTTGATCCACCTCCTCATTCTTGAGCCAAAATGGCTGCGGGGGAGGAGGAGGAGGAGGAGGAGGAGGAGGAGGAGGAGGAGGAGG